GATCAAGCTAGACGACATAGAAACCGAGGGCAGAGATAACGTTCGACAGGCGCGCAAGAACGCTATAAGAACTATACAAGAAACAATTAGCTTGTTAGAGTCGAAGGCTCCTCTTCCCTCTCAACAGATCACGGAATCCAAGAGCCAGGTCTCTGATGACGTCCACGAGCCCGAACAAAGCGAGTCCATGGACGTGGATCAGAAAACTGAGGAATCGCAAACCAACGAGCCAATACCTCTGCCACCTGGCCCGTCGTCTCCGACAAAGATGGTCGAAGAGAGCAACCCTGATGCCCTGAACGAGAAGACGATCAACTCCGCCAACGATCAAGCCGATAAACAATCTTCCGAACCTATGGACATCATTCCTGCGGAGAAATCCGAGGCTACACCTATGGAGGTGCAGCAGACCCCTGAGCAGGCAAACACTGCTGAGAAAACAGATGTTCCTGAGGTAAAGGATGAGAGTGTTTCCGAAGCGAACAAGGAGAACATATCCGAAGAGAAGAAGCCAGAGAAGGATTGTGAGAAGAAGGAAGCTGTTTCTGAGGAGATGAAGCCAGAAGATGCTTCCAAGAATCCAGAGACGGTGCCTGAAGAGAACAAAAAAGAGGAGGAAGTTTCTAAGGAGAAGACTGACAAACAGAAAGATAAGGTGGAGGTGGACGAGGTGAAGCAATCTCAAAAGGCGACGAAGAAGGGGAAAAAGACGAAGAAACAGGTACCAGTCTCCGACAAACCCATACCGATGCCACCGCCAGACAATGCCGAAGAGAACGCGAAGTAGAAATGAAAAGGGAGCTTACAAATTGTCACAACGAGATTCGGGATCCAGGATTCTGATCCTGTGATAGTGAGTGACGAAGAAAAGAGGCTGATAGCTCTGGAAGAGCCACCAGTCTCGTGCTAAGCTTTGTCGTTGATTTTGGTGCCGGATGATAGCGTCGTGGATCGACGTAGTCGCGCGATCGTTCGCCAACGCCAACGGGGAATCGTTCTTCGGATCGTTCCGTTGCTCTCTCGCCCGCGGCGTTAGTTGATCGTTCTTGACTGGGAGGCGCGTCGAACAACAAACAATCACTTTTCTTTTTTTTTTTTTTTTTTTATAACCATTATTATCACATTGGATTCTCACTGTACGTGCTGCTATTTGCATTTGGACAAGGCTGTTCCTGTCTTCATTTTTGGGGGGCTCTAACGAGTACGCGGAATACTAGTGCGAAATTGTATTGGACAAATTTTCCATTGCGACTGTGGAAATTCCGGTTTTAAGTGACGAAAGCGGGGAAAGGCTTGTAAACGCGGTAGCAATTTTTATTACAAACTTTACGTATAAGTCTTTAAATATGAACATCGCAACGATCCCTAATACTGGAATTTAATTTAAAAAGATGTCACTTGAAAGCGGAGAGTACCCTATCTGCCTCTTAACCCTTTGGGTACTGTTGACGTTTGTAACCATACAGCTTAAGAGTGAGGAAATTGTATCGATCAGTCTTGGATCGATTAATTCTTTCCAGGGCTGGTATTCAAAGCTTCCATTGGTAGGATGCGTGCGGTAAACGCTTATGAGCGTTTGATGAATATTGCTTAAGAAACATGTGATGAATACGCTTCGAGTTTTAGCACCGAAAGGGTTACGATCTAACAGTGCTCTTTTTCTCTTCAATTATTATCGAGTAACGTCGCGTGTCAAACATCTTCCTTTCGTTGGATGAATTTAATGGAGGGAAACATAATATGAGAGAGAGAGAGAGAGACGCGTGTTCTCAGTGAATACGAGAACCGCGAGATGTTTTTGGTGTCTTGTATTGTCAGAACCGAGTGATTAATTCGAGACGATTGCGTGGATTTTGTTAATATCGACGATTCGTTTAACGAGAACGCGTTGGGATCGTCGGGGACGATTTTGATGAACGGAGCCACGTCCGTCTCTAGTATTACAGCGCACGGCCTGATTAACTAACTTTATATTACTATTATTATTATTATTATTATTATTTATAATTTATTGTACGTCTGCTGGAACGATTTAGGCGCAAATATCAAGCGTCTGGTGTCGCCGACGAAACATGTGCGTCTATACGAACCGTGTACATATTGTTAGGATTGTATGCGCTCGACTTGCAAGAAACGATGCATCCCGTTCATTGTTATTGTTAAACGCCGCGCTGTTGAACTGACTCTATACTTTTTATTTAGCCTACTCCGCGTACCACTCACCGAGGCTTAAAAAAAAGCGAAAAAGTCGTCAACGGTTGTGCATTCATCTACAGGTCATATTTTATTAAATAGTTTAAACAATAATAATTCTGACAATCGAGATTTAAAGTGATCCGATCCAACAGGGCACCAACCAAACTCCTATCTTTATTTCAATTAAAATATTATATTCCGCTTCGTTACTTTTGATTCAACAAAAACGGACGTCGCTTAAAGAAAATGTTTAGCCAGAGTACTTAAGAACCAGCATGTGGTTTATAATGTTAATAGAAAGTTGATTCTATACATGGACGATTTCACAATGTGTTTCAAACGTTGCTTTAAAATTTTCAACCACTTCCATGTATTCTTTTTTCTTTAAGTGCAACGGAGAATGGGGTGCATTGTTTTATGGTTCCTTGTTCAGGGTGATCCTCGTTACTTTCAACCTTTGTTTTTTTTTCTTTTCCTCTGTATGATGTTGTTTACGTATCCATAGAGATCACGTGCTTTCGAACCACACATTAATTTTTTTTTTTTTTTTTTTTTTTTTTTTTACAAAGTAAAGCGTACGTGTGTACGCTAAACGCGAGAATGCAAATGACTACTTGAAAGATTAGAGAGAAACGGAGTGACTGACTAGAGAAACAAAGTCAAGAAACTATACAGTAGTAGGTTGTATAAATATGTGGCGAGAATGTAACTATTTTATGAACAAATGCATTCGATGAAAATACAGTCTGGTCTATGAAGTCCACAACGCGTGGTTCGGTTTCCAATTTCCTGTATATCCCGTGTAAATATACATTTGTCGTTATCAAGACGATTCTAAATTTATTACAGAGACATTTTGCGCATGGGTTTTTAAATTAAAAATCATAACATAACTTCTTCAGGAAAAACTAGTTCTGAGCTTAGGAAAAAATTATTTACCAAATGAATAATATTGTTAAAATGGATACTAAGATTTATCAATTAAATGTAATTCTGTGTCGACACTTTTACCGCACTTCTACTGCTTTTACTGAAACGTTCAGATTGATGAATTTCCAAATTAGTGCACTTTTGATTATCAATTGATGGCGGTAACTCCGTAAATTGCGTTTCAGATGCAGTAACATGACGTGAATGCGTTTAAAATCGAAACGAAAAAGAAATCAACTCAAGCGATGGTGAAAGTTCCTTCAACGAGAGTCCTCGCTTTCAACTTCAATGCTTTATCGAATTCTGGTATAAAAAAAAAAAAACTGGATATTTCGTGTAAAAAGAGATCGACCTTCAGATGTCCTTCGCATGTCCATCTACAAACCGACCGTGTTCACTATAAAGAGCTATCTATACGTTACATAAGGCTTTTACAAAACTTAACTCTTTTTCCCCCATTTGTATACAAATATTGTACAATTTTTCATATACATCCCCTCCTTTTTAATTGTAAAAATTCTTTTAATAGATCAACTTTATTCCCAGCATAATAATTAATCTCGAGTGAACGATACGAGTTTAAAGAGTATTTATTTGTCATGGAAATAAACGAAAGTAAATGAAGTGTAATACGAGACAGTAAAATATACTTCACGTTTTCAAATTATTAAAATTGTATTCGAATGGGCGATTGGATAAAGGATTAAATTTCTGTTCTTCTAGAAAGTAATGTTACCTTCTTCCAATTACCCATTCATTAAAAATTGATTATACAAATCATACATAATAATATAAACAGTAATAACCGAGGAGTAGTGAAAAGAATTCTGTTTAGTTTACACTATTTAAGTAAAGTATTTCAATTGTGTAATGTACAAGGAATATCTTCGAACCAATGGTAAGTCCACGAATAATAAAAAAGCGTGTATGTGCATGAAATATTGTTAAAAGATTTAATTTAAGAATACAAACGAATAATTTATAAACGTTTTACAATAAATAACAATATCGAAGAATGCAAACATAGCTTTAGCATAACCTTAGATAGCAAATACGAATGTTGTTCATAAGAAAAAGAATTCATTACAAGAAAAATGAACTGATATCGTTGAAGTAAAAAAAATACGCCCGAGCATTCCAAAAACGTAAACGATAGTGTGAAGGGGGAAGAAAGCGTGTTTAACGAGATACGTTTCCTCGAAAAATGCGTCGACCACTGTAACGGAAATTCCGGTACCAACGACCTGTTAAAAACAACATCCTCTACGTGCTCACTGCACTACATTCCTGAAAATTGTTTATAGCCATAGACCTCAACATTTCTCTTCATATAATAACGTGGACGGAATTGTAAATGACTGAAAAGGGGAATTTGTTGGGAAACGGGGTTAGTTTTGTTGTAGTCATACTATATGATGTCCGTCTGCAAAGAGTTAATAACTGAAACGAAAAAATCTAATATCAACAAGTTAATAGTATTAAAAAGAGACAAATGTCTTATTCGTTGGTAACCGATGCGAACATCGTTGAAAACTTGGCACGGCAGATGCATACGAGTCATCTAAAAATAGAAGACCTGCTTAGATTTTGAGAAGGTTTTTGCGTCGCGACGCTACCGGGGAATCCCGTTAAAGATGTCAGTAGTCTTTACCGACATCTAGAACGAGTTGCCGAATTTACTTTGGCATTTGAATCACTAAAACGATAGTGTTTTCAGGGGAATTAGAAGGAATTCCGGTGATTTTAATTTCAAACAATTTTTTCAAAACAAAGTATATAATTTGTTGTACAGATTGTTTTCAAAATGCAAATGAACTAATTATTGGCGCGGAAAATCGGTGATAGCCGAACAGTAAATTTCTATTACCACAGATTAATATTGTACCGTAGCAAAAGCACGTGTATTGATTATTAAATACATCACAATCATTAGTATCGTTATAAAACTATCTTTCATTCAAGTAAACATAGCATAATATAATTTCTAATAACACATTGTGTAATATTACGACCACAATATTAGCTTCAAGCTTACGACTATAATGATTAGGAAATTTGTATTATTTATTGTTTGTGTGTACAATACAAGGAATGCTTCTATTTTAACGATAGTATTCGTAACGATGGTATCAAAATTGCAAGTGATACTGTTCGTAAATCTTTCGAAAACATTATATAGCAAGTGCCTCAATGATAAATTGCTTGTGTTGCGTCAATTGGTACGAAGCGTTTCTTTCTAAAATTTCTGACAGTACTTCTCAGTAAGGGTACTTCGTTGCCGGTTCTGTTTTATGGTTATACATTACGAAATCACGGTGATTATCTTCGAAGCACATGGGACAATAAAGATCACCATAACAACCCAAACATCGCTCTAAATTTTCTGTTTCATCGCACATTATGCAAGTAGGTTTCACATCCTCGCTATCGGTATGTTTTCCTGCCTGTAACCATAAATATTATAGTCAGAATTTTCTACTTTGTGGTTAAAGAGATATACAAAATTAATTAAACATACAGCGACATCCATTTCTTGCAATTCGTCCACATCTTCTTCATACTTTTTCTCCAATTCGGCTTCAGCCAAAGCTTTTGCAATTAATTTCTTTGTTATGTGTTTTTCGTCAGTGTCAATATCTTCATTCGAATGCTAAAAAAATGATTATGTATTGTGTAACACTTAATTTTACATTAATCTTTTATAAGTCGTTATTTATGTATCAATCTTATACCTTTCTGGATACATTGCTCACACCCTGCAATGATCTTAATCTTGACTGAATTTCACTAGCAGGATCACTTCCTGAGGACAATTCTAGCTGCTCAAGGTACTCCTGTATTAAATCATTTGTTTTCTCCTGATCTGTCCTAGTATCCACATGATGTATCTATAAAAATTAAGATAATTGCACATAAAATAATTATGATAGAATAATTTTGTACATATTTGATTGATGTTTGTATACATTGACTGTATGATTACTAGCATCTGGATCTTCATCCTTTAACAAAGCCAGCCTTCTCTTTATTTCATCTACGCTTAAAGCTGTAGTTTTGTCCTCTTCTTTCAATTTTTGTAATCTATCAACTATTTCTTGATCTGCAGGTTCTAAACCCTTTTTAAATTTGTCCCAGTGGTTTGATTGTTTGTACATTACAATTGGTGGCTTTGCAGGATTTTCCAAAGAATCCAATCTAACAATTAAATTAAATTAAATTACACATAAATCAATGAATGTTTTGCTATCACAGTAACATGAGTCCTTGAGTTATGCGGATCTGTAGATAATGTCTCAAATAATTTTTGGTATTTTTTATCTATTTGATATTGTCATTTTTAGATTTGATGGTTAACCTCAAATTGATGGTTAGCTTGACTAACCAAAAAACCCAAATAAATGGAATGGACTGTATATATAATTCAACTTACATGGAAAACACTAGAATATAAGACCACATAAGACAAGGGCTTATTATAATTATGCAAAATATATTACTTTTTAGTAATGTCAACTGGAACAAGAGGTTCCTCGTGTTCTTCTGACATACTAATGTTGTTATCAGAATTTACTTTTTTTGTAGAATTGTAGTTATTATAACAACGTCCGCAAATCTTTTTTACTCCTTTATCTGGAATATCACGTTTATATTTGAGGCACTTAGTGCAGTACGAAAAGCCACAGCCTGGACAAGCAACCTAAATAGCATGACGGGAATAAAAAAACCAATGAAAGCTTACTGAAAATCGTCCTAGCGTCTGTACTATTTAAATTATAAATCTAAAAACTTGTGAAAGCGTTGTCACGCGAAAGTGATGGGACATAACCTATTCTACGATTTAACAAATATGGGAAAATCAGGCTTACTTCTTTAGTAAAAAACGAGAATTTCGTTTGACAAATATTACACGACATCCTGAACTTATATTTTAAACATTATTACGATGTCATTAAATGTGATGAAAAAATGTCTCTTGTACACTCCTCGAGAATATCTGACGTCTAAACGATCAAATTATTAGCAATCGACTATAGAATCATATTCTAAGGTAGATGCATGTTTCGTTTTCAACGAAACAATGGATTTTACTTCCGAATTCTCTAACTTATATTTGAATAGACGGTTATTTAAAAAGAAGTCATTGTAGCAGAAATACAGAAACATTAAAAAATTTGCTTTCTTCAATTTTTCCAGAAAAGTCTATGTACTGTTTGACAGCGTGAAACTCAAGGTAAACAAAACTATGCAACTACTATGGACCGAAACGTCAAAAGGTTATACTCCGAATACATACAGACGCAATAGAATTTATACAAATTGCTATAATATATTAATTACAGATATACACGCCCTCAGGGACTGTTGTTATGCTTGATTGTAACTAAAGTACGAGTTTAGCAATCTCAAAATATCCGAGTTGTAAATATTTTTTAGGTCTAAATTTTAATTTTCTTCCCGCCGCTAGATGGCAATATCATTGTTGCCCCGATTTTCTTTTTTCTTTCATTTGTAAAACAGTTAAATCAGTCTATTGACGCTCACTAAATTAACAGTTTGTGTATATTGTTATAATTGATCTGGTCATCAACGTGCAATACGAGTACTGACATTATTTTATGATACGAGAAAATTAACTGTAAAATACGGAGTTGCTACTGTTTATTATTGTTTTATATCAGTTCTAACCTAACATAACAGTTGTTTATTTCAAATGATATTTTACTATTGACATATATTTCGCAAATATATAAAATAAAAAGTAAAGTAATAAGTTCTCTGTTATAAGTGGAGGACATTCGATATCGTTTTTATTAGAAAAAGTCTTTACTGTTCAAGTTACTATATATAATGTCATCAGTTCTTCAAAATAATGAGATTTTACACACAGATGTTACTAATGACACGTATAAATCATCTGATATGAAAATATTCGCAGGCAATATGCCTTTAAACGATTATGTAGAAAAACGATATAACAATATAATTAAATCACCAAATGATAAAAGAGAATATAGAGGTTTAGTGCTGACTAATAAAATGAAAATATTACTTATTAGTGATCCAACAACTGATAAAAGTGCAGCAGCCTTGAATGTGAATATTGGTTATTTAAGTGATCCAGATGATTTACCAGGTCTAGCACATTTCTGTGAACATATGATGTTCTTAGGAACAAAAAAATATCCGCAAGAAAATGAATATAGTATGTACTTATCACAAAATAGTGGTTTATCTAATGCATCAACACATAAGGATCATACTACTTATTACTTTGATGTACATTCTGAAAAATTGAAGGATGCACTAGATCGTTTTGCTCAGTTTTTCATAGCACCACTGTTTACGGAAACTTCAACCGAATTAGAATTAAATGCTATCCATTTGGAGCATGTAAAAAATTTAGCAAATGATACATGGCGCGTTGATCAATTAGAGAAATCATCTGCAGACCCAGATCATCCTTTTAGGAAGTTTGGTGTTGGAAACAAGCGAACATTAGATGTAATACCAAAACTCCAAGGCATAAATGTAAGGGATAAGTTACTTGAGTTTCATGAAAATTTCTATTCAGCTAACATTATGTCATTATGTATACTTGGGCATGAGAGTTTAGATGAACTTGAGAGAATAGCAGTAGAATTGTTTTCTGAAGTAAAAAATAAGGAAATTGAAGCACCTGTTTGGCCAGAACATCCATTTAACGAAGAACATTTTAAAACCAAATGGTACATTGTTCCAATAAAAGATACAATGCATTTGAATATTACATTTCCACTACCCGATTTACGAGAACATTACAAAGCTGCGCCTGCACATTATGTCTCACATTTACTAGGACACGAAGGAAAGGGATCGCTATTGTCTTGTTTGAAAACAAAAGGATGGTGTAATTCACTTATATCAGGCAAACGATTAGGTGGCAGAGGCTTTAATTTTTTTAATGTTGTTGTTGATTTAACAGAGGAAGGCATCGAACATGTAGATGATATCATTCTGCTGACTTTCCAATATATTAACATGTTAAGGAAACATGGTCCAGTTGAATGGATTTACAATGAATATAGAGACATTGCAAATATGAATTTTCGATTCAAAGAAAAATGTTCACCTAGTATTTATGTCATTACACTGGTAAATGTGTTACAAGATTATGCAATGGAAGAAGTCTTAGTGGCAGAAAGTCTATTCCAAGAATGGGACCCTGATTCAATTGAGCAGGTAATGGAATATTTGACACCAGAGAAAGTGAGGATTCACGTAATTGGAAAAGTATATGAAAGTATTGCTAATGAAACTGAAAAGTGGTATGGTACTAGGTTCAAAAAAGAAAAAATACCACAAGACATTATTAACAAGTGGATGAATGCTGGTTATAATTCAGATCTTAAATTGCCATCAAAAAATGAGTTTATACCAGACAAATTTGACATAAAGCCAGCAGAAAACAATATAACCAAATTTCCAACAATTATTGAGGACACTCCATTATTAAGATTATGGTTTAAACAAGATGACGAATTTCTTGTACCTAGGGCTAACATGTCTGTAGCTTTTGTCAGTCCACTGGCATATATGGATCCTCTTAGTTATAACTTAAGTTATATATTTGTAGAATTATTTCGCGATGCCCTAAATGAATATGCATATTCTGCCGACTTAGCTGGGCTTAAATGGGAAATTGAGAGTAGTAAATATGGAATAACAATAGGAATCAGTGGTTATGATGATAAGCAGCATGTCTTACTGAATAAAATTATGGATAAAATGTTTAGTTTTGAAGTTGATCCAAAAAGGTTTGAGGTTTTGAAAGAAAGTTATATCAGAAATTTAAAGAATTTTAAAGCTGAACAACCATACATGCACACAGTTTATTACCTTGCTGTGTTACTATCAGAACAAGTGTGGATGAAGGATGAATTACTAAAAGCAACCTCTCAAGTAACAGTTGAAAGGATTCAACAGTTTATACCACAATTTTTAAGTAAAGTACATATAGAATGTTTAATACATGGGAATGTGATAATGTCAGAAGCTCTTGAAACAGCTAAACTAATAGAATCAAAGTTAACTAGCGCAATCCCTCAAATAATACCACTGTTGTCGAGACAGCTAATATTGTACCGTGAAATTAGACTAGAAGATGGTTGCCACTTTTTGTTTGAAGTAGATAATAATTTACATAAAAATTCATGTACAGGAGTCTATTATCAGACTGGGTTACAATCAACTCAATCAAGTATGTTACTAGATCTTTTGGCACAAATTCTTTCGGAACCATGTTTTACTACTTTAAGAACTAAAGAACAATTGGGATATATTGTATTTAGCGGAGTTCAAAGAACAAATGCCGCAGAAGGCTTAAGAATAATAGTTCAAAGTGACAGACACCCTAAATATGTTGAACAAAGAATTGATGCATTTTTAGAATCCATGATACATCATGTAACAAATATGTCAGAAGAAGAGTTTAGTAGACATAAAGAATCATTGGCAATGAAACGACTTCAGGAACCTAAAATGTTAAATACCTTATCTGTCATATTTTGGAATGAAATCTCATCGCAACAATATAATTTTGATCGGAAAAATATCGAGGTTGCATATTTAAGAACTATAACACGAGAGCAATTATTAAAGTTTTATAAGGAAATGCTGCAGAGTGATATTCAACATAAATTATCAGTACATGTTATTTCTTTAGTAGAAGACTCAGAATCAGCAGAAAAAGATGTAATTAAAACTGATGAAGATACCCAGCCAGCTGATGCAATAAATGCTGTGGAATGCAAAAAGATCACTGATATTATGGCATTTAAAATTAGTCAATCTTTATATCCATTACTGAAGCCATTTGATAATGTACGAAGGAAAGGGGCGTATTCTTCTAAATTATAAAACACCTAAGATGTTTTAATTCTATATTCATATTTTTCAATGATATGTCTATGAATTGTAGTGAACATCTACTAAATAAATACTTTTAGCATATTCTGTTATATAATACACTGTTTAAGTATGTATAAATCAATTTCATGAATGCATATTGGATATTACATCTGAATAATCAAATAATAGCAGCTGAGAAGTACGAAAATGTTACAATTAAGTAACGGTACGAAAGAGAGTGTAACGGTTAAGTTTGTAACATATTAATAACATAATTAATTTTCAGAACTATAAAATTGTGTATGTATTCAAATTTTTGAACAAAAAAAAAAAAATGAATGCACGCCAGAGAGAAAATTAATTAATAGCGAAGTAAACACAGTGTTTAGGAAATAATCCCATTTATTTGTATAACTTTCAACGAACCAGAATGTACATACGTTTTTAAATAAATTTACGACTGAGGAGCAGTGGTCGAGCCCGCAGAGTGCTCCTCTCATCGTCCGGAAGATTGGGTGGATCGAGTAGCTCGGCTCCCGTGGCGGAGAGAGGTGTGGGTATCCGAAAATTCCTGATCGATCTCAATTGATCTCGATCACTTTTCGAGTTCGCCATTCGCTCCTCGCTCGTCTTACTTTGTTTTAAACGTCTAAACAAACAACAAGCGCTTATTGTTTTATCTTTCTTATTACCTTTACGCGAATCCTATACTTTCGCATATACTTAAAGCCCGAATTAAAAATTGTGTCACTTCTTAAAGTATCATGTTCCTCTCATAGAAAAAGGTAAGTTTCGTGACAAAATTAAAAATTAAGCCACCTCTTCGAGT